TTGTGCAAGTTTTTAATTTTTTTCAGAAATTTCATACGTATTCATATTACTAGCACCCATGTATAATTTTTGCATTACTGGAGTAGTCAGATAGAAATTAAAGATAGTTTTCCAAGTGGTTGCATCAGAGATTAGGATACCATTTATAGAATCACAGAATTGGTAAGGCTGGAAGGGACCACTGTGGGTCATCCGATCCAACCTCCTTACTCAATCAGGGTTATTCTAGAGCACATGGCAAAGAATAACATCCAGATGATTCTTGAATATCTCCAGTGAGGGGAACTGAGCAACATCTCTGGGCAACCTGTTCCAATGCTCGGTCACCCACACGGTAAAGTTCTTCCTTATGTTTGGGTGGAACTTCCTGCGTCAGTTTCTGCCCATTGCCTCTTGTCCTACTGCCTGGTACTACCAAGAAGAGCCTGGCTCCAGTCTCTTGGCACCCTCACACCTGGAGTTTTTCCTCCCCAGGTGCAGGACCCTGCCTTTGCCTTTGCTGAATGTCAGATGGTTCTTCTCTGCCCATCTCTCCACCCAGTCCAGGTCCTTCTGAAGTGTTGCACAGCTCTCTGGGCTACTGCCCACTGCTCCCAGCTTTGTGTCGACAATGAAACTCATGAGGAGACATCTGCCCCTTCATCCAAGTAATTAAAAAAAAAGTTAAACAATATTGGGTCCATTATTAAACCCTGGGGGACACAGCTAGAGACAGGCCACCCTCTGCCACTGACTACAATCCTCGGAGATCTGCTGTTCAGCCAGGTCTCAACCCACCTCACTGTTCACTCAGGTCCACAGTTCCTGAGTTTGCCTGTGAGGATGTTGCGTGAGACAGTGTAAAGAGCCTTGCTAAAGTCATGGTACATGACATCCACTGCTTTCCCCTCATCCAGCCAGGTAGTTTGTTCATCATAGAGGGAAATCGGGTTGGTCAAGCATGATTTAACTTTTGTGAATTTGTGCTTACTACTCCTGATCACCTTGTCCTTCACATTGGTTAGAGATGGCTTCCAGAATGGGGTGCTCCATTGTCTTTCAAGGGATTGAGGTGAGGCTGATTCTGTGGTAATTTCCTGGGTCCTCATTCTTGTGCTTTTTGAAGACTGGGGTGACATTTGCATTTTTTCAGTCCTCAGGCACCACTCTGATCTCCACAAGCTTTCAGACATGATTGTGAGCAGCCTCACTGTTGTGACTGCCAGGTCTCTCAGCGCTTTTGGATGCATCCTGTTAGGGCCCATAGACCTGTTGATCTCAAGTTTGGATAGGTGTTCTCTGACCCAATCCTACTTGACAGAGAGAAAGTCTTGCTGCCATCATTCCATTACGCTGGTCTCCTAGATGAGAGATCTCTGAGGGCTGGTCTTGTCAGTGAAACTGCCTTCTCTGTGTCCTGCTACCAGGCACCCCTCCATTTAGTAACAGGCCCACACTATGCTTAGGTTTTCCTTTGTTATTGATGTATTTGAACAAGTCCTTTGTTTTGTCCTTGTCCTTGACCAGATTCTTGAAGGGCCTTGGCCTTCCTTCTCTCATTTTTTATTTATTCTGGCAACCCTGGACTGACCCTGTGTATTTTCTGGCTATGGCTGAGTAAGGACTGGAGCTCCTTATTCATCCATACAGGTCTCTTGCTTCTTGCTCATCAGGATGCCTCATCCTTGTACCTGGAGAAAATGGTCCTTGAAAATCTTTCCCTCTCTTTGTTAAAGGTCATTATAGAGATCCTGGAGACTGGGAAACCTTTTCATTTCTACATTGAATTGGATTTGTGTTTTACGGCTTGTGCCTTCGTAGGTCTTGGAGGCACAAGTAACTATGACTTCTAGCACTTGTATCTTTTTTTTCGTCTACTGGCTGTAGGAGATTAGTGATGTTTTATTCACATTTTTTCTTTGAAGTCTCTGGTAATCAAGAAAATTACTTTAATCTCTAGGAAATTATTTGGAACTGAGACATTTGGACATCCTTCCAGAATGTTTTATGAAATTTATGTTCCTTAGCAGAGAGTTGTTTTTTTTTTTTTTTTTTTTTTTTTTTTTAAATTTTAACTTCGATTTATGTTCCTTAGCAGAGAGTTGTGGTGGGTTTTTTTTGTTTTTTTTTTTTTTGTTTTTTTTTTAATTTTAACTTCTATTGAAGCCATTTCAGGAAGTGGAGACTTTGATGAGAAAATGAGCCTATATAACAATAAACACTGCATTTAAGGAGGTTTTCCCCCCTATAGTGCAATTTACACAACACTGATTTTTTTTACATCTGAATATGTAACATTTTTGATATTTACTCCATCACATCTCAAAATATATTGGAGTGATTAAAATGAGAAAAAAAATTAAGTTATGTCTTGGTACTCATAAATTAATTTGCTTCAAGGAAAGTGCATTATGGTGAGGCCTAGGAAGTGGGAAGTGTGCTTATCTCTGTCTAGGTAAGGTAAAGGGAGTAAAACCAATATTTTATACTGTGGATGAAGGCAGAGAAACAGTTAAAGAAAATGGAACTTTTTTCAAGACCATATCCAATTTCAACAGTACTTAGAGTGTGGGTGTTCATCTGTCAGGAGGATTAACGATGAATTTCAGTTTTTCATCAAAAAGCTCTACTTTCATAGTTCTGGATGGCTCTGTCATGCATAGCTTTCATCACTCTTTAAAGAAAATTTTGTTAAAGGTATTTACTTCACTGGCTTGAAGAGCTGATTCAAGCAGCTACTATTGATTGCCTAGCTCTAAACTGAAAAAAAAAAAAAAATTGTATAATTATTTCAGTTAAAATAGCTGTATAAAATATTTTTAAACTTATGTGGTGAGAAAAATAGTACAATAGTGCAGTTCCTTTAACCATGACTGACGCCTTCAAAATGGAAAATGTGGGGGGATGCTTTACAAGAGAATATCTTCTGGCTTTCTGGAGGTTGTAAAAGCTATAAGAAATTGTAGCTAGCCTTGGAGGTAGGAAGGTTTAAAACTGAGCAAGTGCCAAAAATTTTGTTCTATTGTAAGTCTAATTTATTCTAAATTTGTATTTCAGAGTCCAGTTGGCAAACCCATTCTTAATAGCAATTATCCGGGAAATATATTAACTCTATGACTTGTTCATCCTAAGAACTAAATCTACGTATTTTAAAGACTTTGAGGTGACTTAATACCATACAATATATGCAACAAAGACAAATTATAGTAGCTTTTATTTTAAAATACTATGAACTTGTGATTTTGTGGTAGAAGATGAAGAAACTCTACTACAGCCTATAAGAAAAAAGTATAAATGTGGAGAAAGTGTGTTAATCTTCATGTGTTTTTACAATGGGTACAATAGGGAGAAGAACATTTTATGGTGGTGTGACAACTAAAGGGAAGGGGAAAAGAATTACACAGTCACTTCATGAATTAAGATTAGTATATTTTCTTCTGGAGGTTAAATGTTATGGTTTATGACACTGAACTAATGGCCTAGGAGAGTGAATGGAAAATTTGTACAGTTTTCTAAAGTCAGTGGTCTTTGTATCCATTGGTGGGTTAAAAGATTCATTTTTATACTGTTTGAGTATTTCTGTCAAAATAAATGTTGCATTTTGGGAGTTAAAATATACCCTGAAAATTGTTTACTTGCTAATAATATCAATAATAACAGACAAAATGCCATCCAATGCTTAACAGATTTCTGAAGAAGCAAAGCAAGAACAGATATTCTAGGATTAAACTGAGTGATAATAAAGTCTTTACATAATAATGGTCTTGCATAACCAAGGACATACTTGTTTTTGATGAGTTATCTGATTAATAATTTGAAAACTGCATATCAAAATCCATAGAAAAATAAATTTTAGCATGCGGAATTTGTCTGTTGTATTTGTGCAATCTTTGGCTGTGTTAACGAGTTTTCTACCTTTTATCTGTGCCAAAAATTAGTAGACATGATCTCCAGTGTCTGCATGGGAATTTGGATCTGGAAATATTGAATTACTGTTATTTAGATAGCATAGTCTTACTTAATGAAATTTAGTCTGAACATATGATTAAATACTTCAGGTTCTATCAACATGTTTTTCTTTCCTGTAGGCATTCTAGTTTCCTAACCTGAGTGTTGGTATTAGTAAGGTATCTGGAAACTATTTCTGCAGCTATCAGGAAATTCCAAAAGCCAAGCAAAATGATAGATACTTTGCACTAGAGCGATGGACCATTTTGAGCAAACCCCAGCCTAGTGCAGTAGAATCTATGCATTCACTGTATGGTATGACTTTTTTCAAGAAGAGTATGTCTTAGTATGCTTTTGAAAGAAAGAAACTTGGATTTGCCTTTAGCTGCAACCTTATTCTTCCATCCTCCTTAAAGAATAAAAATTAAGGATAAACAACAATTCATAATCTTTTTTTCTTTTTTTCCTTCTTCTAAGCATGCCTCTTTACTATGATGAATGTCCCTTTTTTTTTCTAGCCTATCCATAAAATCAGTGAATGACAACCTTACTCTAGTTTTTATAATTTGCATTGGAATTGTGTATTATTTCAACAAAAGGTGGTTATAGAAAAGGAAGAGGAAATCTCCTTCATTTCACGTAAACTATTAGTTTAGAGGAAATAAAGCCTTGTTTGAAAGCAGGTTGGATAATACCCTTTCAGTTAAGAAAAATGCCCATTACTGAAAAACAATCTCATAAGACAAAAAAATGCACTTAATTTAGCTTGGAAAATTGAACTAAGCCTTGCAGTTTCATATTTGTGCTTTATTCACTGCAGTGTGGCTGCACGTGGTTTCTAAAGGGAATGCTGAGAAGGGATTAAAACTTTTTTTCTCTTGGTGAAAGCATTTTTCTTTCTTACAAAACACAAGTGCAGTGTACATTTTTCAATTCTAACTTTTCAGTCTTCTTCCTCAGTAAAAAAAACTTTAAAAAATTTAAAAAATTGACAATTTTTTTTTTTTTTTAAGAATGGGATACACAGTAAATATTCTTAACAAGATTTCTCTTTGTTTTCTTTTAAATTTCAGACATGGGACACAGAACTGGAGAGATCTGCAGAGTCATGGGCTGAAACCTGTCTGTGGGAGCATGGACCAGCAAGCCTTCTTCCATCAATTGGACAAAATCTGGGGGCACATTGGGGAAGGTAGTTTAAGATACTATTTTGTGCAATATATGAGAGTTTTAAAAATCTAACAAAATTTGCTTGTGAATAAAAGGAAAAAATGGCAGAAGCTACAACTTTTGAATTGTCTAATACACTGCTACTGGCTTTCCTAGGTACAGACCTCCAACATTTCATGTCCAGGCATGGTATGATGAAGTGAGAGATTTCACATATCCCCATCCTCATGAATGCAACCCATATTGTCCATATAGATGCTCTGGTCCTGTTTGTACACATTACACACAGGTATGTAGGTGTGCTTGATTTTAATCACCTATGGAAAAGAGTGGCAGAGATTTCCAGCTAGGTTGCTGTCTGACAGAGCACATTAAACTTGCAGTACATTCCACAGCACAAAAGCACAGAAAGGTTTTGTTTAGACTCCATAGTTACAAGTACTGGGTATCATTGATAAAGTAAGGTTGTCATACAAATCTTTACATTTCATCCTCTTAAATATCAGCAGGATTGAGGAAAAAGCTCACAAACCTCAGTGTTAAACTGAGTATTACTGCTCATTTTGCATAATCTGGATAGCTCTTCCTATAATATGTTGAAGAAACAGCTCATTTAAAAAAAAAAAAACCAAAAAAAGTTTTCTTAGATGAAATCCTCAGATCAAACAGTAGTCTTAAAAACCTTGCTTTAACTTCAGGAAGATTTTAAAAATAGTGATAATTTACTTCCAATTTCTGAAATCTGTGTATCTAGCCTCAATTTTTTGAGGGGTACTAGTCATGCTTTCAATGAATGGGAAATACATGATCTTCAAATTATACTATGGTCCACATATAATTATTGATATAACATTGGAAAACTTAAAAATTATTAATTTTTAAACACTTCTGTTTACTAGCATAATTTACAGTTGTATCTAATTTTAAAATAAAGTTACCTCTATACTCTTATTTACTGTATATACAACCTGTAATTACATTTACTATTTCATGTAAGATCAATACATATATACAGCTTTTTTTTGGTACTAGGTCTTCACAACAGTTATCTCTTTCAGCTCTTAAATCCCGCTGAATCTACAGATTTGGCTTACCTTGAATAAATAGGTTTTCAACACCTGTCATATTTTTATCATTTGAACATTCCAAACTTTGTCATTTTGATTATTTTTGAGATTCGTGGTGAAAGGTGAATAGAGGAGCACAGCCACCTTAGGTTGCAATGACATAAAAGCATATTCATTTAAAATCCATTACTTGGGTCTATTCAGTGTATGAGTATTTTTCTTAATGTTTTTATCCTTTCTTACCTCCTTTTATTGCTGAAAAATATCTGTTGTCTCAGTCCAACCAATCAAAACCCCTCTAGGTCTTTAGGTTGTACTGGGAACTCCAGCACATGGGACCATAACTTCTAGCTCAAAATTATCAATTAATTGTGATTCCAAGAACCAGGTCTTCCGCTCATGCTTTGTAAATGTTTTGCTACACTTTCAAATACATGTTTAGAGCATTTGTATAAAATTAGAGCCATATTTTTACCACCAAGGTAAAACTTTTCTCTCTAATAAGGGTATAACTGAATGGCCTTTCGACACCTGTAATTAGGCCACTTCAAGCCGTTTATAACAGAGGGGAATACATTACTTTGGTAATTTGAGTTTTGTATTTTGGAGATAGTTTTGATTTTAAGTTGATCATCTTTGGTTTTCCTCTTTTCTTTTCCATAGGTTGTTTGGGCTACAAGTAGCAGAATCGGTTGTGCAATTAATTTGTGTCATAACATGAACATCTGGGGGCAGATTTGGCCAAAAGCAGTTTATCTTGTATGCAATTATTCTCCTAAGTAAGTAGATTGACACGCAAAAATATCTTGAGGGGGCAAGATACTTTATAATAGTCCAGGAAATAATCTGCAAGGAAATCAGTCTGGATTATCTGATTTTTGTACCGTTGCAAAATAGAGCCTTCCCTGTTCCCAAACAGCCTTCGGCTGCACAAATACTCTTGTGAGTTTTCTGGTGCTTCAGTTTTCTGGCCTGTATTTTAGTGCATATACAACATTAGAGACTTTTATTATAGTGTGATATTTTTCTGAAAAATAAATGTATCTCCCCACTGTGACTTAAAGGAATGTAAAAGGAAGCCCATGGTTAAGATAAAATTTTATAGGATATTCCTTCTAGGAGAGAGTGGAGCCCATTCTCATGAAGTGGAGGAGTTTAGTCTTATGGTGCTATGCCAGTCTGAAAAGAGATCTTACAGTGATTTATGTCAATTCTTATTTTTTTTTCTTCATGGACTTTTCAGCTAGATCCTGTGTATTTGGTGTAGAATCATAGAATCATTTGGATTGTAAAAGACCATTAAGACCATTGACTCCAGCCAGTAACCTAACGCTGAAAAGTCCACCACTAAACCATGTCCATGAGTGCCTCCTCTACACACCTTTTAAATACCTCCAGGGATGGTGACTCTACCACTTCCCTGGGCAGCCTGTTCCAGTGCTTGGCAATCCCTTCAGTGAAAAATGCTTCTAAATATCCAGTCTAAACCTTTCGTAGTGGAACTTGCTTGTACATTGCTTGTAACTTGGGAATATCAGAAGAATGTTACCATCTATGTGCCTGCTGGTTTTCATAATTTATTTCTTGATATATTAAGTGCTGTTTAATATTAGCATGTTAATATGCTCATTGATTAAGGTATTTTTTGCTTTTTTTTTCTGTAAAGGGGTAACTGGTGGGGTCATGCTCCTTATAAACCTGGGCGCCCCTGTTCTGCATGTCCCCCTAGTTTTGGAGGAGGTTGTAGAGAAAACCTTTGTTACAGAGGTATGTACTATTTCACCATTACAACTATAAACAGGAATAGAAATGTAACTTTTCTTTTGATTTCTTTCCTCACTGTGCTTTAACATAGTGGAATAAAATATATTATGGGTGTTAGTTAGGCCCTACTTTACTATGCTGGATGGGAATATGTACTTGTGATACGTGAGGCTGAGTTTCACCAGAGGGAATGATGTGCACTGAACTCCTGCTGATAATGCTGATTCAGGGGTTTTCGTACACAAGGATGGAGACTCATTGTGTGCTCTTTATATGCCTTCCTGTAATTACACTGGAAGTATATGAAGTAATTTGTTTATGGGGAAAAAATATCTCAGTGACAAAGACATGTGATGTGTGTGAAAAACCAAGAACAAGAACCAAGAAGACACTGGTAATTAAAGAAAATATCAGCTAGGATGATTATTACTTTACAATTTTTGGAATAGCATTTATAGCATTAAAACACAGCATATTACAAAGCTGCTACTTCTTTTTGTTCTACTCTGTGAACAACTTATTTAGCAATTTGTGTTAATAGCTTCTGAGATTTCATATGGACCACGTGAAAGCTGCATATGTGTACCCAAATATTTTTCTTATGGTTCTAAGTAAGAAATGTAGATACAGTTATGAGTGTTTCAGAATTATTTTCACTACGTATGAATAGAAGAACCTCATTTTCAGGTGACTGTTACTATGAAAGAAGCTTTAAATTGCATGCTATCTATGAGCTTGGTAAAACTTTGCCCATGTGTAGCAGAGATTGTCCTTGACCAGTTGGTTTTATGATGGCATGAAGATACGAAAGGAGCATTAAGAGCAGTTTGATACTTCAATTGTGCTACATATGCTGGGAAAAAATGTATCACAAATATACTTGAGGTGTTTTATTAATCTTGACTTCTCCATCTTATGAAGCAGTGGAGAGTTTTCCTTGCTTTCTTCCTTTTGTCCACCATTTTGTGAGAACAAAGCTGTTTTACTGAAACATGGTAAGGGATTTACATTCCACACTGATTCCATTTTTCTTTTGAGAGATTTTTTTTTTTTGCCCATTTTCTGAAACAGAGGATTCAGAAAGGCCTTATTCCCCCCATGAACCAGAAGAGGAAACAAATGAGATTGAACGTCAGCGATCCAAAGCCCAGGATGCAACTGTGCAAAGCTGGCCAAGAACACATCAACCTTCAGCCTCCACAGGCACTGATGACAGTGAGAAAAATGAAGTGATAAGCACACAGCAAATGTGTAAGGAATTTACCTGATTTGCAAGTGGTCAACAAAATTGAATTATCTAGTATCAAATTCATTACAGTGAATTTGCTTTTTGCTTGTTTTAGCTCAGATTGTTTCATGTGAAGTAAGGCTAAGAGATCAGTGCAAAGGAACAACTTGCAATAGGTACGGTAAATTTTACAGTTATCATTTTGAGATTTTTCTGAAAGGCTATATTTGTACATGAGCTGGAATATTTCCCCTTTTTGTAATCCCAGGATTTAAAACCAAGTTGTATTTAATTCTCTTAGGTATGAATGTCCTGCTGGTTGTTTGGATAGCAAAGCCAAAGTTATTGGAAGTGTACATTATGAAATGGTAAATACTTTTAAATTAGATTTTGTACCAGTAGAGTGTTTGATGAAATGTCTTTTCTGTTGGCATACTAGTTAAAATTGTATTAAGAGTGGATTTTGAGGATGTCAGCATTCACCAAAACTAAAAGCTTACACCAAATGTTTAAGAAAGCATCAGATGAGATAAATTTGCATCTGCTATTCTGTGTATACTATACAAACATCATACTTATACATACACAGAAGTAGAATTTTTATGCCCACATATTTACATGCAAATATGTGAAGGTGTGACTAAAGGAGGAGTACAGCAATGTGTGGGTATGCTTGTATAAATTGTTTCAGTAAGATGGATCTGCTTCTGTGTAACCTGAATACAAGCTGAGAGTATATCATTTACTCTGTAGAATGGGAAAACAGTATAGGAAATGACAGCTACTGTGAACAAGTGTACTGTAAGTGAGAATAGTTTATATCTGAGTAAGGCAAAGTGGTGGTTTATTTGCTTGAAATAATACCTTCATGAACCAAGTCAAACATAAAAGACTCTCTACCAAGTTTTTAATGACAGATTGTAAGTAAAACCTGTTTTTTGTCTGACATGGATCTGCTTTTCCTGGTCTGTTTTTCAGCAATCCAGTATTTGTAAAGCTGCCATACATTATGGCATCCTAGACAATGAAGGTGGTTGGGTTGATGTGACTAGGCAAGGGAGGAAAAATTACTTTATCAAGTCTTACAGAAATGGTGTTCAGTCAATTGGGTAAGTTTTTTCTTAAAATTAAAATGTATGAAAAGGTTTTAATCTGTTTATTTTTATTTCATTCAAAATATATCACGTTTTTAATAACATTTTGCTATGCTTTTTGTCATAAAGAATATGAAAATTCTATAAAAAGGCATGTGGATATAGAGATATTGTATGCATTCTGAAACTTTAGCCAGTGTTTAATGGTGGACAGAGAGTTGGCGTAATAGTAATGTGAAAGAAGGTTAAATAATTTACAGAATGACTTGGACAGTAAGTTGGTGTTTGTAATTAAAACTGTTGAGAGTATTCAGTTAATTAATTGATAAGACTATATATTTATTGTCAAAAACTAGCACATACTGGCAGATTATTTTATGTTTTTTGGACATGGACAGAGCAATCTATGACAGTTAACAAAGCAATAATATTACAAGTTCATGTTTGTAAATGACCCTCTTGCAGTGTGCATGTGGAACAAGAAGAAAAGACATCTCTTCCTGTATGCTTCAGTAATTTCATCACAGTTCCACAGTTTACCTATGACATTTTTCGCAAATCTTTTGCACGATTTCTACATTGGCCAGTGATGGAATAATATTCCATACTGTGGAAACTGCACTGCTGAGGTGCCTTCCCTAAGACTGGTATGGGAAACGGCTCCAAATACTTGTAGATATGCGAAAGAAAAACCCAGAAAAGCAACACATAGAAATGGAGAATGTTTGGTTGTTTCATATATAATTATCCAATGATAGAAAGACATCAATATTAATATATTTGAATCTAAGATATTACTGGTGGTTGCAAATTATGCTTCACTGTATCATAATGTATTTTTCAGAGCTTTCCATTGATGTCTTTATTTCTGTCTATACTTAGTACATGTGTAATAGTGGTATGTGTGTAGCTCAAAGAGGTAATATTGAGCTGAAAGAAAACAGGATTTTTCTGAGACATATTTGGCTCACATGCAAACCTAAGAGTCAAGGACATAGGTAATCATCAGTGGCTGTGCTCTCACTCTGTGCTGTTCAAACAAATGATACAGGCCATGACACCTGTCATAATTTCCCTTTCCAACAGGTATGTCTAAGCCAGCATAGAGAGGAGCATTGACATGGTAGACCAAATTCAGTGGCCTATAATTTGGGCTACCTGGGTAGCACTTAAGGCATTGATATCAATCAGTTTCTTTGGATCATCTGATGACTGGACTCTGGTTTGATGTACCTTCCTAAAAAATGAAGATACAGGCAAACATTTCTCTTTTTTACTTGCTTTGACACAAAGAGAGAAGTAGACCTTGATTATATCAATGCTAACATATGAATAGCCAGCTTGCTTACAAATATAGGAGTAGATAAGCTGTAAAAAACTCTTTAAACTGGAACAAATTGATTTCCCATCAGTTGAAATCTCTGAGTTTCTATGCTATATGAGAAAAAACTGTATGATTGTCCAGCCTACAGAGTGTATTTAGCACCTATCCTCTGAGAATTGGAACTCAGGGGAAGTTATTTTGGTTGTTTGCCAAAGTTTCAAACCTTCAAAAGGCCCATCAATAAGGCAGGGGATGTCTTGCAGCTACCTGACTCTCACCAGTGTATGTAGATGGAGCTTTGCATGAGCTACTATTTAATCTATTCAAGAATAGATTAAATAAAGTGGATCTCGCCTATACTGTGTATTGCAAAACAGAATACAGAAAAGTGTCAGGGCAGCATACAGCAAGTGTCCTAATTTTCAGCTCCTTGGACTTCTTATCAGGATAGCCAATGCCAATGTTTTTTCAGCTGTTGGATTTTCTTAGGATATGGTACTGTTCTGAATATCTCAACAAGCTAGTGAAAAATAGAATACATATTCCTACATCAGTGTTTGACAGTGCTGGGGCAACAGAAGTATGAGCTACATCAATGAAACTAATTGGAATCCAATAAATGAGTAATGTGCCATTGATGAGTCAGACAAGTAAATAAACTGACGCGGGCAAACAGTGAGATCCACGGGAGCAATTTGCTCTAAATCTAAATAGGGAATAATTTCCTTGGTTTGTTGTTATTTCTGTTTGGTTTTTTTTTTTTTTTTTTTAATAAGTAACTTTATGGGTGCCAAAGGCATCCTCAGCTTTTTTGTTGCTGATGAAAAATACCATAATCAGATGCATATCCTAGGAGTCAAAAGAGGAGGAAAATAGAAGATGGGGGGAATAAAATAGAAACATTCATCAACTTGTAATGAAACAACATAATCTATGTACCTGACTTTTTATAACAAGAAGAAGCAGGTACATCTGAGTGCCATATAATTACATTAATTAGGTTTTTAATGATGCTGATGATAACAGGAGATGCAAGATCCAAAAGTAAAATAGGATCTTTTACTTTTGAAACATTTCAGGAAGGCTGTGAGGAGAAACTCATCTCAGTGTTGGAATTTTTTATAGGAATAAACCTTTAGCAAAAGGTGAATGAGCTCTTCAGATAGATGAAAGCTTCTGAGCAACCACATGCTGCATTATGAGAGACCAATATATTGCTTAATTGGTTTCTATCACAAGTTCTCTTTGAAAATTAAACTCCTGAAAGAGTTTAACACGCATTTTGAAACACATTCGCTGGGAGTACAAAGTAGATATGTCATTACAATAAATATATTTCCAGCTGGGGACAAGGGGGTGCAGTGAGTAAAAACTGTTTGGGGACATTCTCTTGGGTTTACTTCCATATTTTCTAATAGAAACTATTCTAGCTAAAAGAAATCACTGAAATATGTTATTTACTGATAATTTCTAATATTTCTTCTTCAGAAAATACCAATCTGCTAACTCCTTCACTGTCTCTAAAGTAACAGGTCAGTATTTATTTCTTACAAGCTCAGTACTGCTGTTTTTTCTAAATAGTAAACATTCACTTGTTTGTGTTTTATTTTCTTCAGTTCAGGCTATCACCTGTGAAACCACAGTGGAGCAACTGTGCCCATTTCAAAAACCAGCCTCACACTGTCCGAGGTAAAATTCATAAAATGTTATTAATTTAAAGTGCCGCTCTATTTTCTGCCATTTAATAATTATTTTAAGTCATCTTAAGTTGTTGAGAAAGGTGACAACAGTAGCTGTAAAAATGAAGTAAAAAATGTTCAAATGATATTTTAGTCTTTGGTCTCAGTAGAAGGCAAGGTAGGTAAAGATGATCTGCAGGATTTTTCATTAAGAAAATCTCTTTTTCTTTCACTCATTAAGATCCTGTTGCTAATCTTAGTGAAATCCTTACACTAAAGACTGTGAATAAAAGTACATTTTTATTTTTCTTTGTCCATTATTATATATATGCACCTTGGGCAAAGTACACTTTATTTCAATTTAGTTACCTGTAAAGCAGATACAATAGAAGGATAAAATTCAGATAATTATCACAGAAGTTACCAATTCGCTTGGGAGATCTGCAGAAACTGGATTTTAAAAATAATTTTAAATATATCTGGTTAAGGTAAGGCCTGGTCTGCAGGTTGGCTTTAAATATCTGTGCCATTTCTTTGAAGCCTGTGTTTTAACTCTTTGAAAGGCTCCTGTACCGCAATATTTTGACAAAAGAATTTGGTAACAGTTCTTAAAACCATAGATGAGTCAAAGGTAAATACACCAGAGCATGACTTACCACAAATTAAGCTGCAGATATCCACAGGATTACTTTCATAGCAATCCTACAGCCAACACAGGAAACAAGTACAAAGCCAAAACTGCTAGGAAAACATCCTTTCATGTAGCACTTGGGTCCATGGACTTACTTGGTGTTTGGCTATGACTCCTGGCTTTCTAGCTGGAAGATGTGGAGAATTAAGCTAAGGACTGGAACACAGGAATGGATGGGTACAATCTCCTATATGTTTCTTTTTCTTTTCATTATTAAAAACTAAAGCTAGCTTCATTAAGAGAAAAACATGATTATTCTTTAGGAAAATTAAAGAATAAGTACAAGGTTTAAAATGACATAATTCTGATGTGTCAACTTAAGGAACTTCACAATGGCAGTGATTCATTCAAGATTCCGTGCATGCTCTTCATTCTGAAAATGTAGTCTTGGGAATTACAAGAAGTAGTCAGTCATGGCATTGATTACACAACCTCAATTTTCCCTCTTACTCCCAGCTCATAAATCAGCAGGTCTTCAACAGGCTTCTTCAACTTCTTTCTTCCTTCTGACAAAAATATCTTTCCTGACTCTTATCAGCATGTTTTAGTTACCCATCTGGCAAGACTCTAGCATGCCCAAGTGATTTGACTTCCAAATATTGATTGGAGCCTGGATAACATTTTAGAGAGGAACACTTGCCCAGGGCTGTCCCATATAGGGTGGCTCTGTTTTTCAAATGAAGTAGCTCAGAGTAGACCTAGAGTCAGCTGATGGTTCTTGCTTGTAGCATATCACAGTTAGCAAATAAAATGCTGACACCTTTTGTACTACACTTAGTTTGCCACATGGTTTTCCTGTGCATTTTGAAGGCATAGAAGATGTGAATCACAGAGAAAATTTTCCTCAAATGTTAACAAAATGCAGTTAATAAAGACAGTGTTTGTTTTAGTAGGTTTCTGACCTCCCAGAATCAGCTAGGAGTTTCACTGCTTTCCAAGAGTTTTCGTTCTAGCCACATATGCCAATGCTCAGTTTCATTATAAGTTGCTAAATTGGCTTGTGTCACCAGGTCATCAGTATCAAAGCAGGTCCTCAGTCACATCTGCCTCTTCTGAGAAGGTATCTGACTGTACATTTTGTATAGGGCACTTAGAATTAGATAAATTATAGAATAATGAACAGGCTTTCTTCTCACTGGCTTTTCTACTTGCCTCACATATGTTTAACAAGCATACCATCTACTTATTCAAAGGAAAGAAGACCAGACTTGTTAAAGTATCATTTTAAGCACTTCACATGAACTTCAACACATCAGTAATGCTTTCAGTTTTATGGTCAAAGCCTCGCAAACTGACAGGTTTTAAATAGCATTATGCACCCATATGCATAGACAATCAACTTGATTTATACTTAATAATGCTGTCATTGAGCATGATATATTAATCCTCTGATACTCTTCCTAACTGTGTGTGGTTTTGTTTTTGATCTTTCAGAGTGTATTGTCCTCACAACTGTATGCAGGCAAATGCACACTACGCTCGTGTAATTGGTACACGAATTTATTCTGATGTAAGTATAGGGATTTACATTGTGTGATAAAATGAGACAAAATTCTATGAAAAAATTATAATGTAACTATAAGATAGAATATTGATATACAGTTTTCCTCCATATGATGATTTTTTTACAAAAAAACCCCTTTCTTTTAAAAAATTATTTTTCAGAGGCTTCCATTTCAGTCAGCAGTGGTCAGATGTCGAAGATACAGAAAATTATTTGGAAACTCATTATAGGCTTTACTAGGCTCTTGACCCATACTTTCAATTATTTTTAACAAAATTCACACTCTTCAACATTTGTCCAACATTACCAGTGTATACTCATTTAAACCCTTGCATTTCAAATTCTGATGCAATTCTGATATAATTCTATCAGATTATACAAAAAATACTGCTCTTAAAATAAATGTCTACATTCTCATTATTTTGAATATTTCTTTTCTGTGTGAATAGCTAAGTATTTACAACAGAGTGATATATTTGTGTAAAGTGTCTCACACCGTCATATTATTTTAGCAGTCTTTTTTTTTCTCATTCTGTTTGCTAGTCAACTTTTTTTCCCTGTCTTTTCTACAGCATGTTTATTTCTGAGGTGGGTAGAAAGTCTGAAAAGAGATTTCTAATTTAAGCCCTCCTTTGTCATGTCTCTATGAAGAAGCCAGGGTATAGTAGCAGAGAAAGCAGTTTGTATTTTTGGCAGTAAACTGTAGTTTAACTGTCTTATGTATGTCATAAAGAGTAGTATGGCAACCAGTTGGGTCAGATGATGATTTTCACTACTTTCCAGTTCTTTGAAATGTGTGAAAACAGTATGTGAATATTTACTCTTCAGCATTATAAAACTAGCTGATGTCCATTGACAAGACATATGTCACCTGAGTGTCTTGTCCTGAAAACACTCTTGTCCCTAAGTAGTGTCATGGGTGTGAGTAGTATTCCCAGTTCAGAAAGATAATTGATTTGTGAACTGGATCCTTAACATGCAGGGCATGTTAAAAGGGGCAGTGAAAATAGATTCAATGCAAGTCCAGATCGTGGAAGATTATTTTCTTTCAGCTCTGTGGTTGCAATTAAGGGCTACAGACAAAGTTTCCCAGTGAGTTAGAAGAGACTGTTGTAGGAGAAAGACGTGCTTGTGTTTAACCTTGACAGCGTGAAATCTCAGATTATGTATTTTTGAATGAATTCAATGAAATTTACATTGAATATGTATTTTCTTTGGCTGGAGAAGTCCTAGGTGACTTTAATTAGTGATATAGAGGTACACTTTAACATTATTTCAGGTGTACTATCTCGTTATTCATCTTCATTATGTAGAAATGTGTGCAGCCATACTGCTTTTACAAAAGAATGGATATGCATACAAGTGAAAAAACAGATATGGGAGTCTTCTTATCAACTTCACATGCTATCAGGATAGACATTTACACTGAAGGTGCTGTTCTAGGTTATGTTTTCAGTAGTTTTTAGTACAGAGAGTATAGTGGTAAAGGAGATAAACAGGTGTCTGCAGAGCAGAATTAGTTTGAATTTTTCAGTGTGTCTGCCTTACTTCTTCCAGGGGCTAGAGGCCACAAATATCTTTTATCTAAAGAGCTCTATGGAGTTGTATAATTTTATACCATTTGAGCACTTAGGTTGTACTAATTTTTGTTTCAGTAACCACGTATACAAATATTCCCTGAAACTTTTGCAAAAGTATTCATAATTCTCTACGATGGTAAAATATAGAGAATATTATGTAGAAAGTTAAATAGCTCCATATTCCTATGATGGTATGTTAAAGACACTTGTGGTTTAAATGACTTTGTAGAGTAATACTGTGCTGTTAGATACTGGTATTTGTTGAGTATCTGAAGAAGGAATATAATTAACTTTGTATTCAGATCCCATGACCTGTTAAAAATACCAACAAGCTTAGGAGTGTTCACAACACAGTAATGCTGCATAAAATGTTCATACTAACTTTAAAATACTGCCTTATACATCCTTTGGAATTTCTTCATCAAAATTCAAGGAATAACCCTAAATTTTTGAAGTTTTCCCAAAAGTGACACCAGGATGCTGATGTATACCACAAATAATATGCTGAAATTTGTGACAGACATAGTGAAATCATGTTTTGCTTAAATTAACAGGAGGCTTGCCTTTGTGGTTCAGGGAAGTGTGATCTGGATGACATAATATTGAGCATAGGAAATACTGTGACATCACTACTGGAATCTGATTCCATTTAGATGCATGTCTAATAGTCTCATTCTAAGAAAATGAGAAGTTATTGAGAGATAAGGCCAGATAATACTTTGTAAAAAAAGATATTCTGTATATGTTTATAAAACTATAGGTATCTATTCATAGCTGTTCCTACAAACAAGTTCATAATTATGAAATTATACTCATGTAATTGTTCATTTATTCAAAAACTATGTGAATTTGTTCTCCAGTCTCATCTGGAATGTAGCATCAGACTCTCAGTTTATTTTCATCTGAAAATAGCCTTTGAGCTGGCTTCATGAACCTCTGTCTTCTGACCTCTCCTTTTTCACATTTTCCATTCAAGTGTCTTGCCATCATTTTGAAATGTCGTGCATTAGCCCAGCCATACTTGATTGGTCCAGTTGTGGTGTCAGCCCTAACAATGGCCCTGTCCTTTGCTGGAGATTGTTTCCAACAAGCAGTCAGCCTGCTCTGTCAAAATCTCCATCCCTTGACTTTTTCTTTCCTTTTTACTTGATTAGAAACTTCCAAATAATGTTGGAACAGCCGCCACATCTTAGCCATCCTCAAATGTAATTATGAAACCCCTATGTCATGATGTAAATGGTGAGGGTACATTTTGGTTACTATTACAGAGGTGAAAAAGCTGATCTTTCTTTTCCCCAGTTGTACCTCCAGCCTTTTTTTATATCTCCAGTGGGAACTGAAAACAAAGTTACTGCTGTGTTATTGTACTAGGAATGAATAGAATGAATAGTTTTCTTCTAGTTCTTCAGTGTAGTTAATTGCTTGTAAATATCATCTTTTATTTCCTCTGACTGTAGTCCTGTACTGGAGAGGCCATTATTCCCCCTGGGTATTTGAAATAGCACATGATCAGTCTACTCTTTAGTTACTCCACAGTATGGATAAATAAGGCTTGCTATAATCTTAACAATAAGGCATCTATTGGTGTTCAGGGTATAAAAAACGTTTTGCAACACTGGGAGGAGGAAAAATACAGAGGGGTATAAATGGCATCCTTTCTGGCATGTTCAAAAACTGCACACAGCAGTGTGGAAATAAAAACTCTAAAGCATCTTTGCAAACAATTATTTGCATAAATTATTTCAGATCTTTACTGCTTTAAATATTGCAATGTTAACAGATGAACTATGTATGAGTGAACCTGGCAAGTCCTGTGCTTCGAATGAAAGTAGGAAAATCATTGCTGTTTTAAATTCCTGATTTCATATAGCATTGAGGTTGAAAATGACTATGATAACATATATAAATTATTCCAATTATAACTGGAAGAAGTGCAGTTTATTGTTTAAATCGTGGTCTGTTTGAAAACTTTTCCCACCAAAAATACTTGTCTCTAAGTGGAGATACACTGAAGCTGGAACTGCACTTTGCTATGCTGTGTTTTAAAGATTGGGACCTACCTTCTGGAATATCTAAGTTTCATTCTTCTGACAATTATTAAAATGCTGAAAGAGTAATAGAGTACTGCAAGTTTAAATCAATTATTTAAATTAACGTTATCAAGATGGTCACTGAGAAATCCTTCTGTGGATATTGTTTATTCCTCATGGGTTAATAAGGGAAATTCGTGACCAGAAAATAGAGTTTCAAGCAGCTATAAGTGCTGTTAACTTAACAGAGAACTTTCATTTTAGACCTCTGTCTTCTGTCTGATGCTCACATTATACCCTTCATCTAATTAGCTTTTAGTATTTACCCATGCCTGGATAGAAAACCGTGATGCTTCCTTTAATCATGAATCATTTTACTAATGTTTGAGATTTTGGCTGATAGATCATTTAGTTTTGAAAGGTTGAAGAATTCAAACATCTTCCTGATCTTTGAACTCAAATAGCCTGAAATAAATTATTTTTTGCATCATGGTGAAAGTGATCTGAAATCTCTTTCTGAATTCCTATAAAATGGCCTAATTCCTAATGAAGCTGGTTTAAATATCATAAGACTAATAAAATTAGTTATGCAATAAATATAATTATTTTATGTTATTTGGTTTAAACACCTGTATTTGTCTTCTTTCAAAAATGGTGAAATGAAAGGATGACTGCAAAGCTAATCTGTGTCTTCACTCCCCAGATCTCCAGTATCTGCCGGGCAGCAGTGCACGCGGGTGTGGTCCGCAACCAGGGCGGCTACGTTGATGTGATGCCAGTGGACAAAAGAAAGGTCTATGTGGCTTCCTTTCAGAATGGGATATATTCAGAAAGGTACAGAGCCCATCTGCAGAAGTTACACTTTACTCTTGGCCTCGATAAGGTTCTCAGTCTTGCATTGTGTCTGCTTGTACCTGGGCAGTGCTGGAAGCCAAACAAATGGGCCACAAGGGGTGATTTACAGGGCTTGTGTAACAGCAGCTGCGCTGACTCTGGAGAAGCTGTGCTGCTGGAGCTGCCTGCCTCCTCTAAGCTCGTGCAACATTACCCTGAAAAGCTGCTTATGAAATAAAGCAAACCTCTTGTTTGCTTTGCTGGTTCTGTTGCAACTAACACAATAAGAAAATTGCAGCTACTCCTTTGGGGATTTTTTAAAAAATTAACGTTAATGATGCAGGTTCATTGGTTCCTGATGAACTGTTCATTACATGGTATCGAACCAGTGATCCTGGATCATAATTAATACTCACCAACATTGAAATTCACAATCATTTAAACATATTTTTTATGTTCTTTTTAAATAATTTGCTGTTAACAGTGTTTTTTGAAAGACGGGGAAATGCTGTGAAAGTTCACTGCTTGTATTGAGTGTATTTGTGCATTGTGTGATGATAACACGTGGCTATATGTTGCAGGTTTAATTTAATCCCTGAAAGGGTTCTCCCAGTTCTAAAGGAAGAAAGAGAAATCACTTTTAAAACATTGTGCCACTCTTTTTGTCCTGTAAAGCTAAGAATGTTTCTTAGACTAAAAATTATGTTTACCTAACCAGACTATAGCCTTTTTGAGAAATTTGAGTGGGAAAAAAGCCTCAAAAATTTTCTTTAGAAAACTCAGAAGTAGGAAAATATTGAGTATTTTTGTCTTGTTTTTAATTGTGGGTAGGAGAATATCTTCTCTCTTTCTCTTAGACTATTCAACAATTCTGGAAGCTTGTGAAAATAAAGATTTTCTTTGCTCAATGGATGACTGATTTTACATATTTTTTGACTTTTCTTTGTGATCATCCAATTCCCTTAGAGTGCTTCCTTACTGACACTTTTACTCTCAGTATAAATATTCTTGAGTAGAGAGGCAAACAGGAAGAATATTGCAAATTTGATAATTACTTATACTTTATTATACGTATTAGATATTATCTATAAATATAAATTTAAAATATGTATAGATACACATATTAATCACCTTGGTACAGTTTGGGAGGTCAGAAGTTTGGAAAAGAGTCACATACAAGTTTTCTGTGTAGCAGAAATTATGAATTCTGATGCTGTTGTAGGCAACCTGTTCCACTGTGCCTTTCCTTGATTCCACTCCATTTCCCTTTCCTTCCCAGATAATCTTCAGGCAGGGTTGTCTGAAGAAAAAACAATGGACCATTAAATAGGATGTGCTGGTCCAACTTTTAAGGCAAAAATACTTATTTTATCAACATTTCATTGCAATTGGGTATTTTTGTTTCTTTTCTTTGAAAGCCAGATACTCATCCATTCAGAAGGCATTCTCTTTGCTTTTGTTAGACATTAGGTCTCTGCAGAAATCTATTATTCATTGTATAAGCAACTAACAAACAAGTGATCTCCTAGGTCTGCAAGTTCTCTCCAAATACAGTTGCTAGAAGAGTAAGACTGACATGTATGTTTTCTCTATTTCCAAAACACTTTTTAGCATTTTGCTTCAATTCTTTAAACCACAATCCCTCATCACAAAGGATTACTATTGAATTTTTCTATGTTGTATTTTGTTCCTATCAAACTTTTTGGGAAAAAAATTCTAAAATTTATGTAGTTTTTATTTGCAGCAGTTTTAAAGAAATCCTAGATAGATGAATTTAGGAGTTGTCACAAGAAGTGCTGCAGGAATTTACAATTGAAAATTTTAAAAAGTTGTTATTGGAGTGTTATCGTCTTAACATAAAAACTGTTTTTATGTTTCAGTTTACAGAATCCTCCAGGAAGCAAGGCTTTCAGAGTATTTGCTGTTGTTTGAATCTAGCAAGTAAAACACACAACAGGCAAGTGAAACCCGAGCAGTTGGAAAAGATTAATACAGGCCATTTCTTGTGATTCCTAAAATTTGTATAAAGCTGTAACATTGTTGTACAGAAGATGTATACTGCTTTCCACCAAGAAATTTAAGTTACATATAAATCTTAATGAAAAAAATCTGTAAAAATAAACATGGGAGAAAAATTCATTTGAAAATCTATAATGATATATAACATTACTTTGAATCCTGTGTTAAATATTGCTATATTTTCTTAGCAGTTACTCCTATACAGTTAATTCAAAGCTCATAAATGTTCTTTGTTTTCTTCATCTGAATATATTATTGTATGGTGCTTTATATATGCCACTAACAGTAACCTTAAAACTATACCAGAGGGAGGCCTGAGTTTTTATTTTCAATGTACATAAAAGAAGTCATCCCAATATTTTGATAAAATAAATACATATATAACTTTTTGATTTAAAGTAGCATTAACTATGAAAGCATCAATGAAGAGGCTAGATTTTTCTCAATTTCACACTAATCATAACAAGTAAAAATACCTATTTTGAAATAAATTGGGATAAATTCATATGAAATATAGGAAGAAGCCCTAGGTCATGCTAGCATGTTTTCCTCTGAAAAATATTCTTAAGAGACTGGGTCATTCATGTCTATTATTTTTTAAATAGATTAATAAAATATTTATTGGATGCTGCTAAGCTCTTTATTTCAAACAGCCATAATTCATTATGGCCCAATTCTTCACAGATATCCCACTGTTTTGGGATGGGTGTGTGAAACAGACATATATAACCTTGAAGGATCTCATAAAATCTTTGTATTGAGAAGTGCAGTAACCAGAAATTAAGGAATAAGCTTGAAGTTCTGCACAAACACATGCTTTACTTTCGCCATGTGATTCCTTCAATGTACTTAAATTTGGGTTCACAAAAAATGTAATATTGTACAAATCCAAAAAAATTTGCAAGCTTATAGCCTTGAGCTGTACATTTTATCAATATGCTAAACATTAATATAGGAGTAAATGTTCAAAAAAACCAAAGAAAACGGTAACAAAGGCTAACCTCGCTCCTTGTGACCTGGCAAATACTCCTGCAGGCCAGGAAGTATAGTGGCACGAAGCCCAGTGACAATTATGTCATTTGTTGCTTCACAATTTTAAAGAATTCATTTATGATGAACAGCTTGATACATTAATTTTACCATATTATGGTATATGAAGAACATGTAGTGGTGATACTATGTTTCTTTCTATGAAAAGTGTATTGGTGCTTTAAGACTGAAAAGCTTTTAAACTTTATTTTTGGTATATTTTGTTTCTGTTGTTGAATTTATTTCACTCCAACATGTAAACTTATTCATATTCTTCATATTTTAGAACACTATATTCTGCCTTCTCTTTTGCTACATGTACTACCTCATGTAGTTAGGCAAGCTTTGTTAGTTTTTTTAATCAGTTTTGAATAAAATTAATTTACATTGTAAGAATACCTTTCATTGGTGGTTTTTTTTTTTTTTTTTTTTTTTTGGTCCTGATTCAAGAGAAAAAATGTAATAGCCACCCTGAATATTAGCCTTTGTTTGTTTTTCTGACCTAAACATTGCAAGCAGCCATAATCTGAGGTTCTAAAACTGTAAAGGGAGTTTAGACCTAAAACTTTCATTAATTGCATCAGAAGTCTTATGGATAAATCTCATTTTTCAAGTTTTGACCAGGGTCAAATCGATGAGGAAGACTAAGAGTCTTTTATGTACAACCCTATTTTTTTTCTGCAAGTAGTGGCCATTGAAAGAAGCTTTTATATAGATTTTGCAATACTGGCATTAACCATTTCTCAGGATTGAAACCAAAGTACAAGTTCCTGTGCAACAGGGCATGGGTTTACCCTTGGGGCCGTAACAATAAAATTAGTGCTTGGTGGGAGGAGAAAGAGAGCTCCAACATTCCATGTGTGAATAATTGCTGTAAGCAGCTCTACTAACCAACAGAGCGACAAGAAGAAAGTTACTCACCACCCTTTATCCTCACATATTGCATTGCTCAAATTTTTGGAGTTCTATTGCTTTCCCCCATGCAATGACTATCCTGTTCTTATCTAAATATTCCAGCTAACACCAGCTTTTTGAGAAACTTTCTTCTGTATTTACTGTAAGTAATAAGTCAATGAGGAGACATTTCCAGAAAGTTGTAGAGTGGGAGATACACTTTGGTATTTCTTTCTGCAGCAGAAGCAACTGTAGGCCAGATGCTCACAAGAAATTCACACAAAGCCCAAAAGAATAACTAACAGTATGAGAAAACTTTGCTGATGAACAAAGCATACAGAAAAGTCAATTTTTGGCTTTAGTGAACTTGGGACATTTACTCATAGTACTAGCTGGACATGAATTAAGGAAACTTAAAAAATATTTCCTAAAATGTGGATGCTGAGGAATTTTTATTAAAGGGTTCACATACTTTGTTGTGTCTTGATTTCTGCATAGAGGACTGTCTGATCGAAAAATTTTGCATAAAGTGATTTTGCAACCAAACTTGAAACACAGGTTGGGAGAACCTTTGTGTAAGTTTACAGCTTTTTAACTGAAGAAATAGATTCAAGTTGTATGTAAATGTCAAGAGTGTCAGCTGTCTATGGGTTCTCAGTGGATTTGAAAGAGGAAAATAACATCAGCTTTTTTTCATGTATTGATAGATATGTTCAGGACAATGCATGACCCTTTACTTCATATGGCAGAGATGTAACCAAGGTACTCACATTAACAGTGTCTTCTGTGTGGCAATTGCTTTTGAAGTATGTTTTGAATTTTGTTTAAAAGCCAGATAACCCAGATTCCTGTGAATACACAAGGGAGGGTTTATTTCCTGCAATTTCTGCAGTCATACAAAGGGCAAGATTTAGAAACATAAATATTTGGAAGCTACAAAGATTATTCATACAGTGCAATATTCCATTCAGAAATGTATATAAATACTGTATGAAATACTGTACAGTCACACTTCTATGGCTTAAGGGTTTTTATAGCATCTGTAGAACTCTAGGGAATTATACAAGGAGTGAAAAGCCTGAAGATTTTTTGTTTCATTCAGTGCGTAATATGTATCTTAGAGAGCTTTAGATATACAAATGACAGCACACTTTAACACTCAGAAAATTGCATATGATTTTATAAAAACATGCATTGTGAATATAGGAAAAGAAGCCATGCTGCCAGTCTTAGCTTTAGCCTGCCTTTGCTGTCAGAAATAAATGATGGAGATAGTATTTTATATATGGTCGTTATTTTTATTATTGATCTTGTTCTTAGTAAAGCAGAAGTCCTTGACATGACAAGTGAAAATACAATATGATGTGATTCCTGCTCCATGTTAGCATAAGATGATAATGTGACACCTGGAATTTGCCATCAGCTGTTCAATGATCTGTGCTGTCTTGTTCATCTCAGCCTGTTTGCTGGGAGACAGATTCCTACATCATTAAACCATCACAGCATTTTGTAAAAAGTGCTAATAATGAGTGTTAAATATTCAGAAGCTAGCAAAGCCCCCAGTCACACCAGCTTAGTATGGTAAGGCACAGGAAAATAGAAGAGACGAAAGGAGGAAAGTCAAGAATATGCAACCAAAATGGCCATGAAGCTCCTATGTGTTACTATCAGCATCAATTACTGCAGTAATCACCCCAGTTATTCAATACAATATCTGCCCCCAGTGCTCTATCCAATACTGGTTTTGTCTTTACTAACAATGGGCTTAGTCTCTGAGGGTTGGCAGCAAAGCTGTTGGTTACAAACTGAGATACGCTGGCCAAACAACACTTTGTCTTAGTAGGCACAGAAAAGATTTCAGTTGCCAGTATCAGTAACTCTTGGGCTTTTAAATCTCCAATTTTATTTTAAACCGTAAGGATTTATAACAATATTAGCAATAATATTGAAATTTAATATGAAGTCTGGTTATGCAGTTTAAAAAACTTTATTTGATGTGTTTGCAGTTATTTTTGAATGAATGATTTTCCATGACAATATCCATAATAAGAGTATGATCTTAAAATAAATGCAAGAACTTGCCTTTAGATTTGCTCATGTATCTGCAAGCTGAGAAACTCATAAGACTTTGTAGTAATACTAATTATTTTTAGGATCCTCAAGAAATTAGAAGTGCTAGGAGGTAGTAGGGCTTCCAAACAGCCTACACAGTTTGAAAAACAAGTACTTCAGAGGCTTAATTATTCACTTAGGCTTCTTTATATGCAATGTAAATAGCAATCTGGCTCTGACTTCTTATAAATTGCTGCTACTGTACATCTCAAAGATAAATTGGAAACAGTTGCTAAATAAACCTCCCTGTAGTCAGTTCAATTTTCATTCCATATTTATCTGTTAAAATCCATCTGTTTCTTATTGGTGGTTGTTTGCCTACTGAAGATCATGTCCTCTGAATAAGTATTTCTTTCATTGTGTCAGAACAACTCCAAGACCTTTGAGGCTGCAGGCTGCACTGAACACAGAAACAGAGCAATCATTTTATGCAAAAGGACTTAGTCTCAGATTTTGGATTTAGCTCAGTTTGGTACACAAAGAAGTGCATTGTATGAATTGATTTAGTGCTTACTGTACAGGAGGTGATAGTCCTATTCCAGCACAGCTATAAAACTGAGCCAAGGAATAATTTTGTGAAATACTCTGAGCCCTTCTCTCTTATCCAATAAGAGCTGCAGGGTAAAGTAGATCACTTTGCCATTTTAAATAAGAGGAATAGCTAGACAGATGGGTTAGGTGGCTTATTAATAAAGACATGCCTTTCTGCCAGTGACTGAGGGTTTATTCACATTATACCAAACATGTTCAGCGATGTGCAGATGGTGCAGATGCTGTGATTTTTTTGCTTGGCACTAATATTAAAAGGATTTAAATTTGGACACTTCTGATAGCTTTTAAAGCATTTTAAAGCAGTTTTGTAAAGTAACAAGGCAATTAGTTTCTAATTTGTTATTGTTTTGTAATATGTAAATATTTGTCCTAGAAATAAGGAAGTCATACCTTGACTGAGATGCACTGTTGCATCTACTACACAATAAAAGTATTCTTCTTTCTTTTCTGCTAATGCTTCAATTCAGTTTGTAGTTTTCATTGCAAGTCCTGGAGAAGTACAGTCCAATTAAAACACCTAAATATAATTGAGGAAAATCATAATCTCGACCAAAGTGTCTCAGAAGACATTAAGCTCTTACTTATCTCATCAGTACAGCACCCAAACAGTAACTCAGAACCACTCCTATAAAAATG